AACAAAATGGAAAAGCGAAAAAAAAAATAGAAGTCTGGTAGAAATGTTATGGGGAGAAGCAATTTTATATGCAAATTATGTTATTAACAGGGGACCAATAGAAACAATGAAATGCACACCTGCAGAAATTTGGTTTGACAAAAAGCCAAACGTACAGAATTTCAGAATATTTGGAAGCAAAGCTTATAGCCATATTAGAAAAGAAGTAAGGAATAAATTTGATTCAAAATTAAACAAATGTTTAATGATAGGCTATGCAAGAACAAAGTATAGAACTGTGAGATATAGAACATCAAAAAATTTTAATATCTAAGGATGTTAGGTCTGATGAAAATAATTTCGGGTACAAAAATAGAGTAGACTTAAAAGTTGAGGAAAATAATTCACAATGGAATGTTTCAGAAGAAGGGGAGCCAGATGATTTTTTTCAGACTGATGAAAGATAATTAGAGGAGAACGTGGATTCAAATGAGTTAAATGAAATTAAAGATATTAATAGAGAGAAAAAGCGTCAAATAAAACATCACCCCAAATTAAACGATTACGAATTATATATGGCGTTTGATGCAATGAAATTTTTAGATGATATACCTCGAAGTTTTAATAACTTACAAAATAGGGAGGATAAATATAAATGGGAAAATGCCGTGAACAAAGAATTATATTCCATAAACAAAAATAATACTTGGGAAATAGTAACTGAGCCAAAGGATGTTAAATTTCTAGACACTAAATGGGTTTATACTCTCAAATCAACAGAAGAAAAAGAGTTAGACAGATATAAGGCTAGACTTGTAGTAAGGGGTTTTGTACAAGAAGGAGTTTTAGATTATGATGAGATATATTCACCAGTAGCCAGGATGACCACAATTAGGGTATTATTGAATGTGGGAAACCAATTTGGGTACCATTTCAAACAGTTAGATGTCGAAACTGCTTTTTTAAATGCAAAGTTAGATAATGAAGTTTATATTTACCCACCAAAAGGTTTCAAAATTGATAACGGAAAGGTATTAAAATTTAAAAAATCCTTGTATGGGCTAAAACAATCGTCAAGATGTTGGAACAAAGAAATTATAAATTGTTTAAATGAATTGGGGTTCACTAGATCTGAAAATGATTTCTGTCTATACACCTTAGATGTCAAACGTCGAAAATTATATCTATTTTTGTATGTGGACGACATTTTATTTGCTGGAATTGATTTGCAAAGTGTAAATTATTTAATCAAGAAATTAATGAAGAGATTCGAAATGAAATGCAAATAACTTAAACATTTTCTAGGTATAAAGATAGACTATAATAAGGAACCAGGAATATTGAAGCTGAACCAATCTAGCTATATTCAAAAGATTTTGACAAAATTTAAAATGAGTCATTGTAAAAGTTCAAATATACCAATTGATCCAAAATTAAAAATATCTATTTCAAAAAATGACGTTTTGACTGACAAGCATGTAAGACAATTGATAGGGTGCATTATGTATTTGATGTTAGGGACTCGACCTGATATTTGTTTCTCTTTGAACTATTTTAGCAGGTATCAGGATAAAGCCAATAATGAAATCTGGTTGTATTTGAAAAGAATTCTAAGATATTTAAGTAAAACTCGCAATGTAGGATTGGAGTTCAGGAGAGCTAGTCATATAAATCTAATTTGCTATGTAGATTCAGACTGGGGAAATGACTGACTTTGTTGATAGAAAATCAGTTACTGGTGTTTTATTCAAATTGTTTGGCAACACAATACATTGGTCAACCAAGAAACAAAATTGTATAACACTCTCAACTACTGAGGCCGAATTGATTGCATTATGTAGTGCGGTATGTGAAGGTATTTGGTTAAAGAAACTTATGTTAGAATTTAGTATTAATGTTAGTCCTATAACATATTTCGAAGACAATCAAGGTTGTATAGCACTAGTTAAAAATCCAGGTAAAAATCGAAGAGTCAAACATATAGATTCAAAATATTATGTTGTTTGTGAACATTTGGAGAAGAACCACATTGAAGTAAAGTATATTGAAACGTCTTCACAAGAAGTAGATATACTCACGAAAGGTTTACCATATGGGTTGTTCTCAAAATTGTGTCACAGTATAGAACTTAGGGATTTTAGCGAGAGGGGGTGTTGGATGTAACGCTAAAAACTCCCTAAGTACAAAATAGATAGTTGGCAACGTCGAAATGAAAAAGAAAGTTAGACATGCTAATGAGTGGTTGTATAATAAAATTATAAACCTAATAAGTCTCCTGTTATTAAAATATATAAAGAAGAAAGAGGAATTAGTAGAATTATACACACAAAACATAAAAATATCAACCGTCTTACCAAATTTATGTTCTGGAATTTGGTTAACTGTTTCGTCACTGTAGACAGTTGAGAAATATTCTGCAAAAAGATTTACAATATCATCACTATTTTCACTGACAGAGTCATCATAATACATTTTAGATGGTAAGGAAAGAAGGAGGAATGTATACACCACCGATAATGATTGTTGAAGCACCTATAGATAATTCAACATACAGATGTTCTATATTGTCAGGAGATATGTCGATTAACTCAGTTATTAAAGATTCTCTAATGGCTATTAGTATTCCTCCTCCTCTTTTTTTATCGCTATTTGTTTGGTCTCTATCTAATCTATATATGTTAAAACCTTTTAAACCCAGTTCACTATCGGAAAAGTTTCTACTAAAATTATAATATCATAATTTGAACACATAACACTTTGTTGAAATTGTAATATTTTTGTTCTCATACCGCCGACATTTTGAAAATACACAGAAAACTGATTGGGTTTACTTTTTTGCAGCCGCTTCAGTGATTTGAGGTACCCAATTCACATATCTTATTGTAACATTTTCTCCCCTCTGCTTTCTATCATCGACTTTCTTTATATTGTGCCAGTTTTTTACTTTTAGTGGAGTTGGATCAGCATTAATGAATTTTTTTTTCCTTGAGTGCATCTCTTTTTTCTTTTGATTTAATTAACTTGTTTGCATCTTCTAAATTGGTAAAAATAACTTTCAATGCACGGTTACCACTTTTATTATTCTGTCCAACTCTGAATATCTGTTTAATATGTAAATCCTCATGAGTTTTTTCTTTAACTATTTCCTTAACAGTATTCAAGTCTGAGTAGTAAGAATTACCTTCTGCTAGATTGAAAATCATACCATTGTTCTTTTTTTTTGTCTCTCGTATATTTCATCTATGACTGTTTTTTCGGAAAAAGATGTACATGTTTCTTTTTGAATTTTTGATTTCAGTTCTTCAACCTCAGAATGCAACTCATCAATCTTCTTGATTAAATTGGTTACTAATCTTACCCCTGTGAGACAATCATCACAATAAAACTTCAACAGCCGTTTTCCTTTTAAAGCCATTACCTTTAATTCAGATGCACTTAGATTCGAACATCCTACATGCATTTTGCATTCACAACCATCACAACTCAAGGGCAAGTCATTTTCGGTAATTCTACATTTTAAACAATCCATGGTGTAGTATGTTTCTAGAGATATTTACTGAGTCCTGACCTGTCACTTGTAGGGTGCTTTATTTCTATTTTATGGGCTGTTCTGGCACTTGAGATTCTGATATCACTTTCAGGTATTTTGCCTAATTGTAAACAGATGTGAAAGGGATTGTTTAGGATGGCTTAGTTCTAGTTTTAACTATATGGATTTTAAATATTATTCAATTTTCATTAAACTCAAAACTTGAATTTGATGTTTCTCTTCATAAAGTTTTTCACGGTATTATCACCGTTGTTTTGATATTGAATTTGAAATTTTCGAAGGTAAAGAAACCACGAAATTTTCACTTTATATCAGAGCTCCGGCGACACACGTGTGCACTTCTACCCACAGTTCCTCTACACATTGTAACTAATATTGTATCACCTGAACAATTCAGGGCACCATTGAAAGCCAAGCCTAGACCCAACAAAATAAAACCAAGAATGCTAGGAAAAAGTGTCATAGCCACCGACCGTTGATTTTTTTAATTTTTCTATATTTTTTATCTCGAAAATGTATTTTTTGTGTAATATATTCCGTTTGAAAATATATCAATTTTCTTTATTTTTATTTTGAAAATGAGTTAGTTTTTCCATTTCAAAATACGTGCAATAAGCTTGGTGACTGATCCATTGATAAACCGTTGGCCAATCCACTGTGGACCACCCCTGGTCAACACTGAATCATTGTGCACTAAAAATTGAATTTTTTATGCATATTTCACTTGTAATACGACCGACTTTAAATTATCATACTCATAAGATAATAGTTCATGTAACTACTTACCCAAAATTTCAATAAACTTCATGTATTATTTTCCGAGATATATGGGTTTGAAAAATTTGTGATCCACTGTCGACCATCCAACCCTGCATATAACATAGAAATTTAGGCATTTGCGGTCATCTTTTCAAACTTTTTCTGGATTGGATTTGTGGCCTATCATCTTTAAAGGTTTGTCTTATCACTTTCAGGCTTGAAGGTACACTGAAAGCATGTAGTGTCTTATAATTTCACACATTCCAGTCTACCTATCAATTTGTAACAAGCTGATTTCAATTTTAAATCATTCTCTGTGACTACTCAGCTGCAAGATTTAGTATTATTCATCTCCTGATGATGCTAACTTGTTAGCGAAACGCATGTTATCACATACAAGCTTGAAGGTACACTGAAGGCATGCAGTGTCTCACAATTTCACACATTTCCAGTCTACCTAGCAATTCGTAACAAGCTCATTTCAATCTAAAATCATCCTCTGTGACTACTCAGCTGCAAGATTTAGTATTAATCGTTTTTTGATGATGTTAACTTAGTTAGCAAAACGCGCATAGCGAGAAAGTACTTCAGTTCTGATGACGGAATTTGTTTTCATTAGATTTATGACAAACTGAGATGTTTGTCAATTCTGCAGTGAAGAAAATCGATTTCAAATTATTTCTCTGTAGGTTCATAGTTTTTTTTTTTTTAGGGGAAAATATCAGAAGAGTAGAAGATGAACATATTTCTTTATTGCAGACAATTCTTGAGAGATGCATGCGAAAAGAATCTTTACTATGTGAACTATATTTACAATTGGTGAAGCAAACAACAGATCACCCTGATCCAAACTCTAGAGTTAATCTACGTCATTGGGCTCTTTTGTCACTTGCATGCTCAGTCGTTTTGCCCCCAAATAAGGCAATTCGTAGATATCTAATTTCTCATTTGAAACGGTGCAGTTCTGATTTTGTTACTGAAGAAGGAAAATATGCCAGGTTTGCAGAAAAATGTTTAGGAAAAACTCAAGGAACCAGGAGGAGACAGTGGCCTCCTTCCAGGGAGGAAATTTTATGTACGATAAACAGGAGACCAGTTTATGCAAGATTCCATTTTATGGATGGACAGTATCATTCTGTTGAGTTTCATCCCTCTGCTACAGCCAGAGATGTTCTTGAAGTAGTGAAGAATAAAATTGGACTATATCAAGACGCCAAAGGTAAAAAAAATATATTTTTATTTATATTACAATGAAAATAAAAGTTCAACTTTTCATTATGTACAAATCTGCCAAATAATGTACTATAGAAAATGTTTGAAATAATGAATTGGTTCTTTAAAAAAAATCTTGGCATTTAAAGTCATCAGGAGACCGATTGTCGGTATTTCTCTTGCCTTGACAGAAAATCTGATAGTATATATTTACTTGATTAGATGAAAATTGTCATCATTTTCAAAATATTAATAGTACTTTTGAAAAGAACATTTTCTCATTTTCCTTGCAATTGTATATGAATTTTCATATTTTTGATAGATAGTTTATGCAAATTTTATAAATGATGTTTACAAAATAGAGAGAGAGGGAGAAATGAGGACGTTTATTGTCCTGAGAAAACAAGTTCTTGTTAACAACATACTTTTTTGGGCTATTTTAGAATAACATGAAAGTATTGGCTAAATCTCATCTACTTATACAGAATAGAATGTTAAATACATTTTTATGGAACAAATTGATATTTTCTTTGAAAATATCTGTTATATTATGGAGAGATACTAAAATTCCTTAAATTCATCCAAATCATAATAGGCTTTATCAGTTGAAATATCGCTTAATTTTTTCCTCAAAATAGTCGAGGAGGGGAAGTCTGATTATCAATAACAGATATATCTTCATGGAATGGGCTTACTGTATCGAGTATAAATAGCGAGATTACTGTTGGAATTCGTTGTTCAAAGAATGATAGTTTGTAGTGTTCTTGGAACTTTGCCCTGCACACAAACCGGACAGCTCGTTTTTGTAAAACAAAAACAGTCTGCGGCATGCTTTCGCTGCTTACTCCTCAGAAGGCAATACAATATCTGATATGTGCATTTACAAAGGCACAAAGTAAGCAGATCTCGCAAAGGTTTTACCTAGCTTTTTTGAAAATAACTCGATAACAAAACAGCCAGACGCGAGTTTTTCATATGGTTTAATTATTCGATCCTCGAGTTCGAGTTTATAATTCATTCAGTGGGGATTGAAACAAATGGTTGTTCTATTTGAATTTCTTTCAAATATTTGATTGGGTCGTTACTTCAGTCTTTATCTTCTCCACATTTTGTGTCGATTGAACAATAATGGAATTTTACTTTTTTGGGATTTATTGCTGTGTTGGTGGATTTTCCTTTTCAGTGTCTTTTTGATTGTTTTTCTCTGATTTCATTGAATATATTACATCCTTTTTAATTTCATTATATGCATTATCAAATAAATTTTGATAATATGTCATTTTGCAGCACTTATCACATTCCTATAAATTTTTATGTATTCAATAAAATATTTAATGTTTGCTTGCATATTTTCGGATATGATTCAAGTATCGCATATTTATTGATGACACCCCTATTTCTCTAGTTAATCAAGGTTAGGTTTTTTATATTTTGGATTGGGACAGAATTTTCAAAGAGCTGCTTCAACGTTTCATAAAAATGTTCAAAATTGACTTCATTTTCCCAGTCGCATTCAAGCGATGATTGATAATAAGTATTATGGTCGTACTATATAAACGACCATATCTGTGTTTTTTTGAAGTTGTAACAACTTCATAACTGAATCTTGTGAAAATTGCATCGTGATCAGACAGATATGAGATCTTCACTTAGATAGTACAAAAATAATCAATCAATTACCCCAGAAACGTTCCATATTATGAAAAATGAATTCATAAACATTCATAATTGTCAGGAAGTAAATGATGAACGTGTATTGGGATTAACTGGAGTGAATTTCCAATTATTTCATTTATTGAAATATAAAATATTCATGGTTTATTTGTAGATTCTCAAAGAGAATATGAAGTTGCTAATACTCACAAATGGCTGACCCGATTTTTATAATTAAGCCAGTATTGGATAGGGAATTGAAAGACCTATTAACATTTCTCATTTCTATTCAAAAATTAAATATACGTTCTTGCCATACGACAGTGGATCAGTCATCCAGAGTATGTAATTTAGGATTAGCAGTGTATGGTTCTTCCGTAGAACTGGCAACACCGCTTTAAGAACATTTCGTGATAAATAAGTAATAATGTAGAAAAAACATTTGAGAATAACGTTAACTTTACGATAAGAGCTGGAAATTGATGAAATTATAGTTTACTTCCATTGATAATGTAATTCAATAATGATTACATGGTCATCAGGGATTTTTATTTTGAAATAATGATTCATCCACTTAGATAATTGCACAGCAATGGTACCAACTATCTTAAAATACTTTGAAGTTCAGAGTTGAACAACCCATTTTTTAAATTGGAACGTTCAGTGAATAAAATTATTTTCCGCTCCACGATGTAACAAACTAGATTCATTGTTATTTATATTAAATTATTATCTTCATTATAGAAGCTTTTTTTCATGAATTTTGACGATCTTATTCTAGAAGTCGAAAATATTTAACTTACAAAATTCTGATTCTCTGTACTCATTTCTAATATTGTTTCGAACAAATAAGCTATTTTTTGAAATGATAGGAATATGTCTATTCTAGAGGAGATTGTTTTCGAAAAACATGTATTCAGGTCAAATTCTTTTCTTGAAAGTAATTTATTCAGATCATAGGTACTATTGAGTTTCATTCAACTGAGCCAGGATTTTTAAAATAACATATTCTTCATTGAGTTATCTGTTCTATTCAACGAAATATATTTTAGTATTGAAGTCTATCAAACATTGGTACATTTGCTACTCAATACACCTATCAGAATTTATGTAGTTGCAGCTATCTCTCTCTGTATCTGTATCTGTAAAGTAGGGAGGGTGAGTGTAAGCCCACGCACTTAGGCGACATGTGACCCATTGTACATCCTCCCGAGGAGTTGTCCTCCTAGGTCATCGTGCATCCTGTCCTTTCCAGGAAGGTGGACAGGTCGCTGGGAGACACACATTTCCAGTCTACCTAGCAATTCGTAACA